TTCCTTGCTGAGCAGTACTGTTTCCTGTTTACACCAGCATCCCCACTCCTCTGGGACTGGCTCAGGGACTATGGGAGGATGGGTGGGAGCTGAGGAGCTGCTCTGCTTATCCTCTGCTTTGGGGTCTGGGGAGTAGGAAGGAAGGAAGGAAGGAAGGAAGGAAGGAAGGAAGGAAGGAAGGAAGAAAGAAAGGAAGGCAGACAAGCAGGCAGGCTCTTGGGAAGGAAGAGGAGCCCTGGAAAGAAATGGGGGTCCTAGGGAGAGATGGGAGTCCTGGTTAGTAGGAGGGGCCCTGAGAACAACCTATTCCTCATGCACTGACCTATGCTCATCCAGGATGGAGGCAAGAGTGGGTTCCAGGAGCACTGAGTAGCTGTGGAGGCAGACTATGTGTGGTCCATGGGAATTGGTGAGGGTACTGCATGTTTAGCAGATTCTGTATAAGGTCTTGAATGTGGGTTCAGTAGGGACCCTGAGATGGAGTCTATTTGAAGAGTTATTAATGCATGGACAGACAGAAAACAGCATTGCATGGACTCTAAGGAGAGCTCAGGCTCCAATACCAGAGAAAAACAGCATGGTGAGCCTGAGCAGGCCACAGTACCTTCACAGTCCTCTCACAGATACCCACAAGCACTCTGCTGAGACACTGTCTGATTTCCTAGTTAACAAACTCCCAGGTGTCAGGGTCTCATCTTGGAAGTGATGCATCAAAGGACATTGGTGGCCACATATCCTGCTTCCCACGTTCCCTGCCTGCGTGAGAACCAGACAGCCTGACTGCAAGCTTGGGCTATGAAACCACCCCCATTCTTAGAAATGTATAAGAGATCCAGTGTCTGGAAAATGGCTCAGTGCTTAAGAGCATTTGCTGCTCTTCCATACCTGGGAACGAGCACAGTTCTCAGTACCCACTTGGTGGCTCACAACCATTTGTAGGGGGATCAAACCCCCTCTTCTGGTGTTCGAGGGCATAAGCATGCATATGATGCACATAATGCATGCAGACAACAAAACATATAAAATAAACATCTGTAGAGGAGGAGGCCTTCACTTCTGTATTGTGTGCATCCTAGTGGAGAGTGAGCATGCACGTGCAATGTTGCTTTAACAGGTATTCTGCACGTTGGCTTAAGGAAATCTTCAGTTTTGGTTGGGCTGCCTGTATGAAATAAGGAAGCCCTGCAGGCAAATGCTGCATTCAAGTAACTTGTTAGTACTCCAGCCCACGATTTTTCCCTCGACCCTGTCCTCCTTGGGAGTGATGCCCAGGTTGGCTGCGTGTTTAAGGCTCTCTTCCTTCTGAACTGTGTGTTTTGCTTGTGTTACTGAGAGGCACAGGAGAGGCTGACGGGAGCCAAGCAGACTCCCCACAGCAATGTGTGAGATAAGGGTGAACATGAACCAGCCTTGCTTCTCAGACTGAAGATGCCACCTCCTGCAGAAGGTGTTCCTGGGTATCTGTCTGTCTTGCTATCACCTGGAGCTCAGCACTTTAGAATTTTTAGTTTTTTAAATTCATATTTATTTACTTATTGTGGGATGGGGGCATGTGTGGAAGCTAGAACACAACTCCTTGTGGAAGTAAGTCCTCTCCTTCCACCCTGTGGACCCCAGAGATTGAACTCAGGTTATCAGGTTTGACAGCACTGTCTTTACCCACTGAGCCATCTCCCTGGCTTCACTTCTGATTAAAACAAAACAAAAACCCAAATAACCCAAAACCTTAGCATTTCCATGTGTGCCACATGTGTATTGGTCCCTGGTGAGTTCAGAAGAGGCATCACATCTCTTGGAGCTGGAGTGACAGACAGATTTGAGTGCTGTGACTTGAGCTTGGGTCCTCAGGAAGAGCAGCAAGCCCTCTTCACTGCAGAGCAATCCCCCCCGCACACACATTCCCCCATTCTCATTTTTCTGTGCAGAATATGCTGCTTTTATTCTGTGCCAGACTTCTGGTCCAGGTTCCAACCTCTGCCCACCGGGGAAGCTGCCGTGGGCACTTTGCTCCCTCATGTCCACACGAGCAGCTGCTTTCCTGAGTGGAGGAGAGGCCAGAGAAACTGCAGGCTCTAGGTTCTCACAGGTTTCTGTTCCCTTGGTGTACTTGGCCCTGACCCCCACACCAGTGTAAGGGTGAGTAGCTGGAGGAGTGGCAACTTCACCTTTCCCAGCTGTTGGTAGGAGCGTGGCGTTAGGATGGGTGTTGGCCTCTTGTCTAGAGGGTGCTCCTCACTAGGGCTCCAAGGTGTTTATTTCAGAGAGACCCTGAGGTTGCTCATGGGGGACAGGTGAAACCTAGGGCGTTCCCTTCCTTCAGACCTTTTCCATTTCGTAGTCTCTCATCCTAGTCACCTGGGGTCTTGGTAGTGACGGCTTTGTGAGGGTTCTTTATCTCCTTTTACTGATTGGTGTTTCAGGGTACCTTTTTTTCCTCTTTTAAAGGGAAGTCGAGTCAGATTTGGGATGGTGTCGTGTCAGGCTTGAGGTTCATAAAAGGCCCCTGAAGACAGTTTTACTATGCATCCTTGATTGACTTGAAATTCCCTGTAGGCCCAGGTAGGCCTCAGACTCAGGACAGTCTCCCTGCCTCATCCTCCTGGGCTGAGATGACAGGATTGCAGGTACAGGCTGCTGTGCCTGGCCAGAGAGGTTCTTGGCATCCTTCCCTTAGCTTTTCCAGAATTGGCCTCTGTGTTTGTTCTTTCCTGCCTGGGGACCCAGCAGTCTCTGTGAGTCTCCTTGACAACAGGAGAGATAAGTTAAAAATAACCTTGTGCTGGGCTTCCCTGGTGCTTGGCTCAGTTGCCGGAGCTTCTAGATGCTCCTAGAGTATGTCAGTGAGTGCTTACGATGGGGATGGAGGGGGGGGGACTGACATTTTGAAGCCCCGAGATTTAGGAATCAGACTAGATCACCACCATTGTTATCTTGTCTTACTTATAGGTAGTTGGTTGCTAGTACGATATAGATTGGAAACTGATGTTGGTGGTGCTAACTTCACTTCCTCTAACTGAGAGGACCCATCATGGAGGTGTTAGTGTGTCTCTGTGACAGTGGAGTAGGACACAGCTCTGGTGGAATTTGCTTATCTCTCTTCAGGGAATCCCTATACCAGCATAGAGGATATAGATCCATGTAGTTAGGTAGTGTGCCAGCTTAGCATGTGCAAGTTCCTAGGTTTAATCCCCAGCGCTGTAAAGCAAAGCAAACAACACACAAACAGGAACTCCCAAAGGATTCCGATTCATCTGGGTCAGTGGTGACACAAGCTGTGACTTCTCCCTGGGTACGCTGTGTCTGTCGCTGTCTCTTATGTCAGCAGTCCATGCTAGCCAAGGCCCTCCATGTCAGGGTTTATCAGTTGTAAACTGATTTAGCTGTGGCCATCTTTTAGGACAGTGACTGGATCTCTCTGTCACACCTGGGATTAATCCCCCTCCTCCCTCCATCCTTTAGTAGGCATTTTGCTGTGGGCCAGACACGAAGAAATGAGAGCAGGATGTCATGGTCCAGACTTTAGAAGTTGCCTGGGAAACTGTTTTATAAAAGAACCCAGGGTGAATAGAGCATGAGGTTGAGGGAGAGAACATGTCTGTGACACAGAGTTCTTAAATAAGGGATACATTTTAAAAATTCCTACAAATGAGTAAGACAGAAAGCTCAGAAGAAAAACTGTCAATAGCTTGACAAACATTTCACAAAAGATATTGCAACAGTCAATTATCGTGAAATTATGCGTGGGAGAGATTAAAATTTATTTAACTTGCAAAAAGTGATGGTTTTTGTGTCATATTTCGCAAGGTTTTGAAGATGTGACAAAATGTCAGTTTTAGTTTATTTTGTTCTGAATTTCATGGTGAAGAATAGATTGAATTCCAGACTGAAAGAAAATGTAATGGGGTGAGCATGTTGAAGTTAGAAGACGTGGGCTAGCCTGGGACATTGGGCTAAACATTTAGCTTCCTAGAGCCTGTTTCTTGTTTGTAGACAGGGCCTTTCTTCCTAGTTGCGTTCTGAAACTCACTGGGAGGTGGTCTGAACTTCTCTGTGTGTCAGGTTGGGGGCAGTGCAGGAATTGCTAAGTGGTGCTGTTGAGTTCTAAGTGATCTGATTCCCTCCACCTCAGTCCAGTTGCCTCTAAGAAAGAGAAGATCTGGGTAACAAGATGGTTTGTAGGATCAGAATAGTCTGTTGCTTGGTCCTGGGGTAGAGTTTGTGGCTGGTGTACTTTTGTTCCTCTCTCTCTGGCAGAGGACAAGGTCAGTTCTGCAGGTGTTTCCTTTGAGGATAATCCTGCATGCAGCTCTCTGCAAGTTACATTTCAGAGGGGTTGCTGATGATCGGGGTCATGTGTGGGGAAGGCAGAGGGAGGTACCCAGTTCTGGCTAGAGCATTGATTTGAATGGACCAGAAAGGTGGGGCTTCTGCTCTGTGGCAGCTTTCACATACTGTATTCTTGTCAAGTCCAGAAGTCTTCTGGGCTTTGGGGCATGGTGGTATTTACTAATCTCTGGGGGGTAAGAAGCCATACATCTGGCTTCTTCTGAGAGCCTGAACAGTGCCATGACGGCTCTGGAGGTTGTGAGAGTCCACAGGATGCCATGGCACAGTAGAGCCTCCCCCTCAGGCTCAAGAGCCCATAGAGAGGTTGTTCAGAAGTGGATAGCTATTTCTGGGTGCTTGTGGCTTGCAGGGATGAGCCTGGGATACTTATGCAAGGAATGGCAGGCTCGGGGGCCAGGCCCTCAGGAAGAAGGCCACACCTCCTCCTGTTTGCATCCTTGGGATACAAGTGAGCCGTGTCTGTCTTTTCCTACCTCCCCTGCCCCCCATGGTGTGCATGGCACAGGATTCCTGTGTCCCATCTGTTCTGTGACCTCACGGTACCAGATGCACTTTGAGTTCTTATCCTGTATCTTCTCTTCTCTGATAACTACTCACATCTTAGTAGTTAACCTAGCAGTTTTGACCTGTGCTCTTCTGTTTTTACCACGTAGGAATCAGAATCAGAAGCCAAGATCGATGGAGAGACTGCATCAGACAGTGAGAGCCGAGCAGACCCAGCTCCCCCACCAGCCTCCGTAGATGACACCCCAGAGGTCCTTAACAGGGCCCTTTCCAACTTGTCTTCAAGGTAACCATCTTAGTGGTGCACCATGCCCATTGCCATGTAAGACTGATGTCTTTAGGATCTCTGGTTCAAGGTTGTTTTCTCTCCACGTATATCCACTGTGAACATTTCTTTCAGTTCTCCAGGAAGACTAAGAAATGTCTCAGCGTAAGTGAATCAGGGGTAAAACTTCTGACTCTCAAGTAAACCAGTCCTCTATCACCAGCTGGTGCGTGCCTGAGAAGCACAAACTATAAGACTCCAAAGCATTCCCTGAAAGTGTTTCTGTGTGCCTTCTGTGGATAAGAGCATCATGAATCCTGGGTTCAAAGCCTGGCTTACCATTAGCTTGCCATCGGATCTGTTTCCATTTCTCAGCATAATGTGTACAAATATTACATATTGATTTAACAATGCCAGTTGAAGTAAAACCTATTTAGATTGTTGTATTGGGGGTTGGGTGGGTCAATACATAAAGTTCTTATAGATATGCTTGTTGCATATTTGTGATAGTTGGTACTCTCTTTGTCTAAGATGGCTGTTATCATTGTGATTTTAAGGCCATGCCATGTAGAAGCCAGCTGTAGGAGAAAATGATTTAGCCTTAGGATTAAATGGTCATGGAAGCCATCCATGTAGACACAGAAACAGCACACTCACTATCTTACCCCTGTTCTCCCACACCACCCTCGGGGTTTGTTTAAGGAGTGTGTTAGTGTGACTTCTGCACATGTTGAGCTTGGCAGTGAGCAGGCATTGGTGCCAAGGTCCTGTCCTCACCAGCTGTGCATCTGCTGAGGTGTGAGGGAGGTGCTCTGGAGAGGACGACATTTGGGACCCTCCAGTCTCACTTCTTTAGGCTGGTGCTGTCGTGCTCTCTGGGCTGCTGACGGGTCTTTCTCTCTCACCTAGATGGAAGAACTGGTGGGTGAGAGGCATCCTGACTTTGGCCATGATTGCATTTTTCTTCATTATCATTTACCTGGGACCAATGGTTTTGATGATGATTGTAAGTACCATTGTAAGCCATTTCAGTGCTGCATCCAGCTTTTCCTGGGGTCTGTCATCTGCAGTGCCTGCTGCCCACAGTGCCTTGTGTTGGGTTGGCTCTGGGAATCCGTGTAGCCCCAGGTTCTCAGATCCTTGTGTCTCAGAGCACCTGTAACCTCCCATATCTCACATGACAGCTGTGGGGTCACTGGCATGAACGGTGGCCCTGTCTGTTGGTTTGTGTGAGACTCTCGTTTCTTGCTTCCCTGGGGCTTTACTCACAGACTTAGAACATTCACTGAGAAGTTACAATCCACAGGAGTTCAATCTTCCCGACTGTTCTAGTTTGCCTTTCTGTTGCCATGATAAACGCCATGGCCAAAGGCAACTTGGGGAGGACAGGGTTTACATGTCCTGACACAGTCCATCATGGAGGAAGTCAGGGTAGAAAACTAGATGCAGGAGCTGAAGCAGAGACCACGAGGAACACTGTTGACTTGCTCAGTCTGCTTTCTTATACATCCCAGGATTACCTGCCCAGTGCTGGCAGCACCTACAGTGGACTGGGCCTTCCACATCAATCAGCAATGAAGAAAATGCTGCATAGGCGTGCCTACAGGCCGGTCTAATGAGGCATCTTCTCAGTTGAGCTTCCCTACTCTCAGACCTCGTTTAGTTTGTGTCAGGTGAACAAAAACCTAATCAACACTTAGAACCCTGACGGACAGTTCTAGATGATGACAACTTGATGTTGAGCAAAGCCCTTCTCCCCTCCCCCCCACATGTGTATGTGTAAGGGTAAAGAGGGAAGATGATTGGCTTGAGTCCTGGAAGGTTCTAGAATAAGAGGTTAATCAGGACATGAGGGCTATGCATTTTGCTATGAGCAGTTGTGACTGACGTAAAGGCTGTGTTACCCTTGGGTGGTATGAGAGCAAAGGAGGAAAGCAGAATCAGTGTAAGATGGAAACATTCTTAAGTGCTGAAGGCCAGTGAAGACCATAAGATTCTTCTGTTTTTCAGGTGATGTGTGTTCAGATTAAGTGTTTCCACGAGATAATCACTATTGGCTACAATGTATACCACTCCTATGACCTGCCCTGGTTCAGGACCCTCAGCTGGTAAGCTCCCTTGGTCTGTGGGGCACTTTGCCTGATGTAGGTGATGTGATTTGTGTCAGGTACTTAGAGTGTTGGTGGCCATAGACCTACACAATGTCTTTGAGCCTGTGTCTTTCATAGGCTGGATTGTACAGCTATTGTTGAGGAGTCTTCAGGAGCTGGGGACTTCCCTATAAGTAACGTGCCTGTGACTGGGTTTACCTCAGTAGTAGGATTCCCTAGATTCCTACAGCCAGGGATTTTGCACCCCCACCTGAGATCAGTGTAGCTTTATGCTGCAACCCAGCCCTTCACTGGAGTCATCCGGAGCCGGCAGGTTCTGGTGTGGGTGTTGCGCTCTCTGGAACTTGATTTCCTCATCAGTACAACGTATTGTTGAGGCCTCCTCTGTCGGAGCCCCACATCCTCTAAGGCGCTCAGGGTGCCAGCATGGTTAGGATCTGAGCTCCTTCAGACACTCTGTGTTTTTCTTCTCCTAAAACGGCTTGGCTCCTTAGCAGCAAAAGCTAAATAAAGAACTGTAGCACATATGATTTCTGAGCCCCTTCCTGACCCACCTGCTGTTGGCTCCTCTGTCCTCAGATGGTGTTTCATTCTAGCAGAGCTGGAAGACTCACTGACTGTGCTAATTGCTGTGTGATTTAATGGGCTGGGCAGTAATGATTTGTATGTAAGAAACTTGGTTATGGAAGGAAGCTGACTTGCTCAGACTTGGGTACACTCTTCCGTGTGTATTGCATCCCTCAACAGTACAGGCTGACTCTCAGCCTCCCCCTGCCCTTGTGATTGCTCTCTGGGCTTAGATGTTGTTCTCCTTGTGGCTGTTCTGTAGTTAGACAGCTGTGTTTTGAATTTTGTTAATGTACTCTGGAGACCTGACCCTTGCTGTGGTCACTTTGAAAAGGAAAATTTTCCACACAATTGAAAATAAACCCAATGTGGGAGTTTTTGTACTTGATAATTAAAAGATGGGAAAGAGAAGCTCCTTGATTTCTTCTGTTGAGGGCTTGGGGTGACCAGAAGCATAATGGAGGTGTTGATTGGGGCTCCCCCTCATGTTCCTCCAGTTGAAGAGAGGATGTAAATCAATGTGTACTTAGTTCTAGGTGAAGGATCTGGGTCACAGCCAGGCTTCCAAAGGGGCAAATGTCCTGAGATGGAGCCTAATTGCCTAGGAAGTCATCAGCTACTGCTTGCCATCAAAATAAATATGATGTGGTAGACGGATGCCAGATCATTCAGGCCATGCAGCTTTTGTTTTTTAATTTAAAATAAAATAGTGTTGGAGCAACAAATGAAAACAATGGGTTGGTGAAGGAGGTGTTCCAAGCCAGGAAGAGGTAAAGCAGGACAGACAGTGACAGAGAAGTGGAGAGTTCCTATGGGAATTGTGGGAGTGAGCCTAGGGAGGTGGGCTGAGGCAGGATTAGGTGTGGGAACACCACAAAATGGAAATTCCAGGTTTGTAATAAAGGGAGAGTAAATAAAATGTGCCATAAATTTCTAGATCAGCTCTCAAGGTGGTGGGCTGTTCTCCCTTTTTGGGGTTTTCTGACGGCTTCTTGGAGGAGAGCTGTTGCACTCCCCTGGCACCATCTTCTTATTTCCAGGTACTTTCTCCTGTGTGTAAACTACTTCTTCTATGGTGAGACAGTGACAGATTACTTCTTCACTCTGGTCCAAAGAGAGGAGCCCTTGAGGATTCTCAGTAAATACCATCGGTTCATTTCCTTTACCCTGTATCTCACAGGTATGTATCATGTGTTTCCCCCAGTTCTCCTCGGGCATCCTGTTCCTCTGCTTCATTTGTAGGAGTTGGTTAAGGTTTTGTGATGTCAGTTGATCATGCTAGAAAGAGAGCTCTGTCTTACATTGGCTGCAAACTGGTTTCCCCCCATGGACCTTGAAATCATTGTAATGCTTGTTACAAATAAGTTAGTCAATGGACTACTTAGCTCAGCTAAAGAAAAAGAAAGAAATGCAGTGTGATTCATTTTATCCTCTCTCCTCCTGTCTCCAACTAGGGTTCTGCATGTTTGTACTGAGTCTAGTTAAGAAGCATTATCGACTGCAGTTCTATATGGTAAGGGGAGTGTGTGGGGGAGAGGGGTGAACGTGTATGTTATGGGGGTGTGTGAGAGACTGAAATTGATTTATTGGTTTCTTGAAGAGCTACAGAAACTAACCAGCTGAACTTGTTGGCCAGATGATTTGTAGAAATTCATCAGGCCTTTCATGTTTTCTTTGACAAATGAGAACTTGATATGATTTGTTCTGTATTCTGGAACCTAGAGCAGGAAGAACAAGAGTCCTGCAGTCCTTCATCTAACTAGACCAGACATTCAACTTACATGCTGAGGTCTTTCCTCTGGGCATCTGAAGGTGGGAGGGCCATGCTGCAGCCATACAGGCATTGCTGCAGGCCTCCATCTCATTCATTGTTTGGTGCTGGTCGTTTCTTGCCTCAGCCTGAGAGCATCTGAGTGGGAAAATGAAAAGTTCCCAGGTTCGAGGGCATGAAAGAACTCACTCACTTGTAGGGTGCAGACCCTGCTAGTTTCATTGTTGTTTGATTGGGTATCACTGTGTAGCTTAGGCTGGTCTCACATTTGCAGTTCTCCTGCCTCTGGAGCACTGTGATTTCAGGCATGCCTCACCCATGTCTGACTTAGTCCTTGCTTTGATGGGACTGTCACTGAGAAGGACTATGTTACTTCCAGAAGTTTGTTCTATGCTTCTCACTGCCAGTAAGTCAGGTATTAAAGCACGTCTTACCTATTTCTCACGAGTTTCCCATTTGTTCCTTCCTGTTCTTTGAAGTTGGTTTTGCAATAAACTTGGTAGGTAGAGTTCCTTTCCTTCTCTTGCAGTTTGGCTGGACCCATGTGACCTTGCTTATTGTCGTAACCCAGTCACATCTTGTTATCCATAACTTGTTTGAAGGAATGATATGGTAAGTAGGGACACTGGGACACTGGGACATTGCCTTTTTTTTTTCCTCTTTGGGGTTGGGGGTTGTTTCTCATATACAGGTATGCTAATGGCCTCTGCCTCCATTTTCAGGCTTCCTTTGTGTCCTCCATTTTCAGGCTTCCTGTGGGCTGGTTTACAATGTGTAGCTGATTAAGTAGGTCTGATATGGCACCTGATTTGAATTTCTAGTCCATTCCCAGGTGATGTAGAAGGTGTTGTTCAGAGCCAGACTTTGAGATGCTCTAATCTAGATTGACAGGTTCATTGAAAGTTAAAGAACTGAAGGTCAAAAATTGTGGCAACAGACTTGATAATGTAGGTGAGATAGTCATGATTTCCTACAACTTGTAAACAAGAAAGGTAATGAAGATACACATGTAGGCAGATCTTTCTGTCCCACAAGCCAGCTCCCAAATAATCACATGGAGACTTTTATTAATTAGGAAAGTTAAGCCAATAGCTTAGGCTTGTTTCTAACTAGCTCTTATAATGTAAATTAACCCGTTTTATTAATTTACTTTGTGCTTTATGGCTTTATTACCTTTACTCTCTATTGCCCATGCTGTTTTCCTGCTTTCTCCTTACCTGACTGGTGACTCTGCCTTCTTCTTCCCAGCATTCTCTCTGCCCTGAAAATCTTGCTTAGCTATTGGCTGTTCAGCTTTTTATTAAATCAGTCAGAATGACACATCTTCACAGTGTACAAAAAGATTATGCCACAGCATATACACTTGAATGGGTCAGTAATTATAGAGGAGCTTTGAAAGCTGTTAATTCCATACTTGGCAAAGAAGAAACGGGATCACATGGGTCATGAACTGATAGTTACCTGATCTTACAGAAGATCGTACAGAGGGAGGAGATGGGAAACTGATTTCCTTTATGGTTAAAAATAAATAAAATGCTGGAGAATTGAATCTGGCAGTGGGCCAGAAGAACAGTATGCTACATCTGTGTGATTTGATTTAAGTGTGTGGTTTCACCTGGAAACTTGTCTGTTGTTAGTCACAGGCTGATTGGAAAAGCAAGATGCCCTTAGTGGGATGGTTAAGACATTGCTGGTGTAATGAGAGAGATAAGCCCACAAACATCATCTCAGAATGTGTTCACCTCTAAAGAGTGCCTGTAAAATGTTAGCCTTATGTATTATATTTAAAACAAGTTAATGGCCCAGGGAGGTAACAACTAGCTCCTTCCCTGTCTGGGTTTTTATTAGGTATTTAAGAGTGCTAAATTCAGGGCTAACATACCATGAAGATCATTTGTGATTAATACTAGCGTTTCTACTGAAGACGCCATCATAATTCTGTAGAACAGAGATGACTGGAAGCATTGATGAAGGAAATGCTGAGGGAGTTGGAGGTGAATAGAGTGAGGATGTTCACTTTCAACTCCCTCAGAGTAAGCCAGGAAATATGATTTACATATAGCATATTGAACTGTAGCAGAAGAACTTAGAACAGTGTCAGAATGAGGAGAGGAGGGGACTGGACCAGTTCTGTTGGGAAGGACATGTCAGCAGAGGAGGAGCAAGGAAGAAGTAAATCTCTGAGCACTGGATTTGTTATAACCATGGAAGTGTTTTTAAAACCTCAAAACCTGCCCCCAGCGACATACCTCCTCCAATAAGGCCACACCTCCTAATCCTTCCCAAATAGTTCCACCAACTGATGACCAAGTATTCAATATATGAGCCTATGGGGGCCATTCTCATTCATACCATCACATTCTACTACTTCTTGGCCCCTCTAGGCTTGTGACAAAATCTCATGCAAAATGCATTTAGTTCAACCTCAAAAATCTCCATAGTTTTTTAGACTCAATAGCTTCAAAGTTCAAAATTTCCTCTGATATTCAAGGCAGTTTCTTAGTTGCAATGCCTCGCAAAACCAAAAAGCAAACTATGTGCTTCCGACATATAATGGCACAGCATTTATATTTCTATTCCAAGGGAGGAAATGGTGCTTAGTGAGGAAATACTGGACCAAAGACAAGACTTAAAACTGGCAGGGCAAACTCCAAATCCTCTAGTTCTATGTCTCATGTCGAAGGCTTAGATGTCTCCTCCCCACTTTGCTGGCTACAGCACACTTCTTTTCTTGGGCTTGTTCTACTCACTATGTGCAGCTCTCCTTGGCTGCTATCCCACAGCTCTGGTACTTCCAATATTCTGAGGTCTACAGTACAGTCTGGGTTTCACTTTAACAGCTTCACACAATGACCATTATGGGCCTCCATTCAGGACTCTCCTGCCACATGTCTGTCCTCAGCAGCTTTCCTTAACCAAAGGAAGAAGATTCCACAACCCCATTACTTCTGTATCCTTCATGACTAAATCCAGAACCACTTGGTTCATGCTGCCAAATTCTGCTACTTGCTTAGGATGGACCCTGGCCTCTTCCTTGAATAACATTTGCACAGGCTTTGATTGTTGTTGTTCTGAGAAGCAGGTAGTTCCTTAAGCAAAACTTCTCTTTTCACAAGTTGTAGGATTAGCTGGGTGGTGTCTCTTCTTGAGGGTACCACTCACTTTATCCATTTCTCCTTATCTTTGTCAGCACAAACTTTGCCTCCAACCTTACATTTCTTGGTTCTTTTTTTTCTCTTCAAGCTATACATTTTACATTTCTTTTTACCCCCCCCCCCTTTCTCCTTGTCATTGAACATGTGCATAAGAGTGATTACTAAAAACCACAGCAGAGTCAACATTAGGCTGTCTTGAAGTCTCCTCTGTCAATGAAATTAGTCCAAAGCTCTTCAGTTTAGTCTCTGGTGAATTCTTAGGACAGGGGCAAAAGTAGCCACATTCTTTGCCAAAATACCACAAGAATGACCTCTATCTCATTTGCTAATATTTAGTTCTCGTCTGAAACATCTTGAGCTGGGCATCCACAGTCCACACTGCTCTCAGCACTACTAAGCTCTGACTAGGATTGCCAAGTTTGTCCTGTTACAGCATTCAACTATTTTCCTAGTCCAAAGTCCCAAAGTCTTCCACATTCTTCCAAAACAGTATGGCCAGATCTGTTACAGCAATAGCCCACTCCCTGGGCTTTTGTCTTAGTTACTTTTCTGTTGCTTTGACAAAACCATGACCAAATCATGAAAGAAAATTGTATTTGGGACTTATGACTCCAAAAAGAGTCCATGACAGAGATAGAGATAGAGATGGACACGCACACAACAGACACACAGACAGACAGACAGACAGACAGACGGACACACACACACACACACACACACACACACACACACACACACACACAGAGAGAGAGAGATGAATGGATGGCCTGGGCTTTTGAAGCCTCAAAGCCTGCCTCTAGTGACATTCTTCTTCCAACAAGGCCACAAACAGTTCCACCAACTGATGACCAAGTATTCACATATATGGGCCTGTGCGGGTTATTCTCATTCAAACACCATAGAGAGTATTAGTGCTGTAATAAATAGTGAGAAATTTAACTATGACATAATGATGTATATTGCCTAAAAACATAAAGATAATTACTAGGCAAAAAGAAAGATTTAAAATTTTAGGGAATAGTAGTAGGGATGGGGAAATAAGCAGTGCACCCCCCCACCTTGAACAGTTTATTATTTTGCTTATATACTACTTTGTAATGAAAAAGGAACAAATGACATTTATAAAATGCTGTCTTCATTTGTTCTGTTATTCAGTGAACATCTAAATGCCAGTCATGTGCCATGCACTAGGTATGGCATTTTGGTGTGTGTTCCCCACTGCTTTTCTTTAGAGAGTGTCTGTGTGTAACCTAAGCCAACCTTGAACTTAAAGCAATCCTCTCTTACCTTCCCCAGCTGGTGTTAGAGACTTGTACAGCCATACCTGACTTACTTTTTAGATTTTTATTTACAGATATCAGTTAAACATAGTAATGTATCTTATTATGCTTTCATTATGTATACAATGTATTTTCATTATTCACCTTTTATTGCCCTCTCTTACTTCCTTCCCACTTCCACTGATTCCTTTCCTCTTCCCATATTTATTTTCTTCTCAACTTAAGCCTTAATGAGTTACAAATACACCATGAGTTATTTTGATAGTGAATTATTATTGACACTCTTTGGTAGACTTGTTAGAGTTATTTCTCTCTTGGATTTTTTTCCCTAGGTTTATTGTTCCCATTTCATGTGTCATCTGTAATGATATTATGGCCTATATGTTTGGCTTTTTCTTTGGTCGGACCCCACTCATTAAGGTAAGTGGGTCACTTTGATATGAGTTGTCCCAGTGGGTGTAAGGCTTTCTGTATGGCTTGTCTGTGGGTGAAGAGGAAGTCTTGTTGATGTGTATCCACTGTAGTCCTGTCTTCATGTCACTTCGGGGATATGTAAGAAAAAAAAGCTCAAAGAGACACAGGCAAATACTTATTTCAAAAAAATCTACCAAATACACTTTTTTATGTAGACATACTTTTGGGGCTCTGGTCTTTATTTGACTATTTTTATTAATGTATATTTTTATACTATAATACATGTGTAAGTCACTAATGGAATAGAAAGAATACTAACCTGAAGAACATAGGATAGGAAATAAGAAAACCTTTTTTGGGGAGAATTTTGAAAGTGACACAATTAATTGAAGAAGGATTTTATGTAGAAATACTTATTTGTATGGATTTGAGAATGTCTTACTGTGTAGCCCTGGCTGGTCTGGAACTCACTGTATAGATCAGGCTGGCTTCAAAGAGGTCCTCCTACCTCTGCTTCTTTAGAGCTGGGATTAAAGGTTTGCACCATCACACCTGGCTGGAAGTACTTTTCATAAGTAATCAAGCAGCAAACTGGAGTTGCAGACTTATCCTTTGCTGACAGTGTGTTTTCTGTCTGCAGCTCTCTCCAAAGAAGACCTGGGAAGGCTTCATAGGGGGCTTCTTTGCCACTGTGGTGTTTGGCCTTCTGGTAGGTGGTAGCTTCTGTCTGGATGGGGAGGGCACAGGGCACCACACCATCTTCAAAGGCCTATGAAGGAGTGGAGAATATGTCTTCCCAAACCAGAGACTCTTCTCCTGCCTTGCTGACCTTGCTCAAAAGAGTATGTTCTGTAACTAGCCTGGCAGCTTCCAGTTTTCAAGTAATTGTATAGGGGCCCATGCATCCCTTATATGTCCTCTTATGCCCAGGCACCTGGTAATACTAAGATTGGGGTGATGACTGGCAACTTGGAATAAGGGGTGAGGTAAAAAGTGTTACTTCACTCAAGATTTTCTTCTGCATATGACTTGCCTGAAGGAGTATAGTCTTCTAGCCCCTTTGAGGACACCATTCCCTGTGCTGATCCTCAGTCCTTCCCTTTCTAGTGTTGGCTGACTGTCACTGTACCCCACACACCCCCGCCGTGGCTTCTATGTAGCACTGACTTTAAAGATTCTTAGCACAGTAGGGCAGGGCTCCATAGGTGGGAAGAATTGTCTTGTAGGTCTTTGCTCAGATCTTTCCTGGGTTTTCAAGGTTTGTGTTTGGATATATATGTGTGAGTTCCAAGTAAGACACACAAACCTTTTTGCTTAACAGTTCAGGTAAAATATACATGTGGTGAAACAAAGCATAAACCTCTCTTTGAGCCATGGCGTCCAGTGAACAGGGTGGGAAGTACTCTGAGAGACATGGCCCGGTCAGGTGCTGGCCAGCCAGGCTGGATGTGTGCAACTAACTGGTGTTCCTGCTTGCCCCTCTGCTCCTCATCCCTAGCTCTCCTATGTGATGTCTGGGTACAGATGCTTTGTCTGTCCTGTGGAATACAACAATGACACCAACAGCTTCACTGTGGACTGTGAGCCATCTGACCTATTCCGCCTGCAGGAGTACAACATTCCTGGAGTGATCCAGTCAGTTGTTAGCTGGGTATGTACTGCTTTCATGGGGGTGACTGCAGAGAGGAGTTCTCCAGGGATATTAGCTTCTCCTCTCCCAGATCTGTGAGCTCTGGGTCAGGACCAGGGTAGAGGAGACCTTTCCCCAACTTCATGTCACTTAGAGGAATGGTTCTCCTATTGTGTGGGTTCCTAGAGGATCATGGATCTCTTCAAAGGGCTCTGGGAAATCCCAGCTGCTTCCCGAATAAAATGTGCTTCTTTCACTGGGATGGCATCTTCCTGATGAAGAATTAGTGGTTAAAACTTGTGTCACTTGGGTATGAGTTAAAACCACTGCACTGCCTGGACTAGCAGCTCACTGCCTGCTTCATGCTATCCCCTCCTGGCAAGTGTAGACAAGCCACTTGCTCTTGTGAATGCCCTTGATGAGATTCTAAAATTAGCAACTTCATTAAAATATTCTTGATCCTTGACACCATTTTAATATTCTCTGTACTGAAATGGAAATCTTTTTGCCAAATACTGATGCATAGTGTGTCCCAACAAAAAAATGTGTTCAGTTGTTTAAATTGTGAGCTCAATTAGCTGCTTAGTTCTTAGTATAGAGTTTTTTTTTATTGGAAACGGCTTGGGTATATAGTGGACATTTTTCTTGAGAAGAATGAAATAAGCCTGTCACTTCAAAGAAAATGACTGATAGCAGTTGTTACCAATGATAAAAATCCACATTTCAGGTGAAAATGAGAATTTTCAAAGTGTGCACCTGTTGTAAACATGTCGGCTTTCTGGCACTTAAAAGCTCTCTGACATCCCATAACAGAATGTGCCCATGTGTGGAAGAGTTGCATAACAGTGACCTGTTTCTTAGATGATCAGTGTATGGTGTTCCACAGTTTTGTATGGTATTCCACAGTCATGTCTGGATAAAAGGTTCACCTGCAATACATTGTAGACCAATGGATTTATGTGAAGAAGTGCAAAGAATTCTTTAGGAGGATTTCAGATTCTGCACTGTAGCTAACTTGGTCTGGCTTTTGTTTTTGTGAGACAGGGTCTCACTATGACTTGTAACTCTTCTGTCCCCCGAGTGCTGGCATTGTAGGCGTGTGCTCCCACATAGCTTGCAGCTGCTTCTCTTCTCCACATGTGTGTGCTTGCATGAATGTGTGCATATTTGCAGGTGTGTGTGTAGGCCCATGGTTGGCGGCAGAATCTTTCTCAATTGCTCTTCTACCTTATTCTTTTGAGGCAGGGTTTCTTGAGTAAATCATAAGCTTACACTATGGCTTCTTGCTAGCTTGCTCTGGGATTCTCTTCAGAGCCTGGAATTACAGGGGGCTGCTTACACACTTAACATTTCCATGAATTCTGGGGAGCCTAACTCTGGTCCTCTGGCTTGTAGGGCAAGTACTTTAACTGATGAGCATCTCCCCAGCCTGCCCCTAAGTTTTAAGGAACTGTGTCTGTCAGGTTCTGACGAAAAGATAAAGAATACCCACAATTCTCTGAGAAGATTGCCGAAATACTCATCTTTTTGAAATTACATTCTCTGTAAGACTAAGGAGGAATTTCCTCATATATTGTCTGCAAAACAGTGTAAGAAGTTGATTGCAGAATTTCTCCTTTTGTTTGAGACAAGTTTTTATGTGGTTTAAACTGGCCTTAAATAAACTCTCTGTAGTTGAAGGTACCTTTGAACTCCTTATCCTACTGCTTCTGCCTTCCAAATGCTGGGATTATAGGCATGTACCACCACTCCAGGCCAGAATATCTTAATGTCTACCATGGGGCCAGATGTTAGAGACTTAAAAGCATGGGCCAGCCTTTTTTAAAGGGTCATTTCTTTGTTATGTATGAGTGATGAGTGTTTTGCATACATGGTTGTATGTGTATGCCGTGCCAGTGGAAGACAGAAGAGGGTGGCAGATCTGTTTTGGTATATTTGATCACTATGAAAATCAACCATGGGTCAAGAGGCCAATCCAGCAGCTAGTTGAAAAGAAGTGACCATAGGGAGTAAGAGGGAGTCGGGAAAACAGCTAGAGAAGTAGTGAAGTACAGGAAATAGTAGGAAAGGACTTTGAGTTTGGCAACTTTTTTGGTTTGGGATGGTGGAAGAGAAGCTCTCTTCTTTGAAGTTGGCTAAAGAGGAAGGTCAGCTGGTTGCCCCTTGGCCTCTGTGAGCTAGCAGGTTTTCACCCCAGCATCTGACTCTCAAGTCTTTATTGGTAAAATGGTAAGATTGAGATTTAATTTAAGAACCACACAGATCTCCTTGAACTGGAGTTATGGGTGTTTGTGAGCCACAGTCTGTGCTAGAAGCTGAACCCAGGCTCTTTGCAGAAACAGCAGGTGCTTCTAACCACTGGACCATCTCCCCAGCCCTTTAGTCTTCTGATTGAAAAGAGAGAAGACTAGTTTTAGTAATTTGTTCCATTAGCTGTAAAAAGTCAGACTTGCAATTCCTTGACTTTGATTTCACTTATTCTCTTTAGAAAACAGTGAGGATGTACCCTTTCCAGATCCACAGCATTGCCCTCTCCACCTTTGCCTCGCTCATCGGTCCATTTGGAGGGTTCTTCGCAAGTGGATTCAAACGAGCCTTTAAAATCAAAGTAGGGAAACACTTCTCTCTACCCCTCACTCCCTATTGCCCTTCCATGTTCTCCTCTCTGCCCTGCTCCATCAGCATTCACCCCTTTACCACACCAGCTTATGCACCCTGGCACCTAATGCCTGCTCTTTTGACCCATGTACTGAATTTTGGGGGGCAGTAAGCAAAAGTAAAAGTCAGTTTTTAGTTGACTTTTTTTCAATTTACAATTGTATTCTGTGATCACCTGAGCATTTGATTTTACCTATACCTCTCCATCGCCTTCTCTAACCAGCAGGATTTTGGTTATGGGGTGGATCTGTTAGTGTGGGATTTGGTTGTTGGTGACCCAGGCTCATTCTTTCCTCTGCCTCTAACAGGACTTTGCCAATACCATTCCTGGCCACGGAGGCATCATGGATCGCTTTGACTGCCAGTACCTGATGGCCACCTTTGTCAATGTGTACATTGCCAGCTTTATCAGGTATGGTTCCATTCTACCTGAACCAGATGAGCTGGAAACTGCTCTGTAGACCAAACTGGCCTCAATCTTAGAGATGCCCCTGACTCTGCCTCCTGAGTGCTAGGATTAAAGGCCTCTGACTGTGGATGGTGAAATCCTCAAATTAGTTTCTTAAGTTCAGTAAGAACCATACTAAGTGTGAGTGTGGATTTCAGTTGTTACTGTGTATGAATCTTCTGAGGTCCTTCCCTCTCCAAGCATGGTGAATTCAGGGGTCAGAGACCCACAGCCAAGTGGCTGCCCCTGCTCAGGGATGCTTCATTTGTGTTGTAGGGGCCCAAACCCGAGCAAACTGGTTCAGCAGTTTCTGACGTTGCGGCCAGATCAGCAGCTCCACATCTTCAACACACTCAAGTCTCACCTGACTGACAAGGGCATTCTGACCCCTGCCTTGGAAGATGAGTAGTGTCCAGCAGGACCAGGAGAACCGGAGCAGGACTGAGTGAGGGGCAGGCCACCACCAAGGCCAGCCCAGATGCTGTGACTTAGATAATGAAAAGCTTCAACTCACTGTCTTTTTTTCTTTTAAATTTGTTTTGTTTTTTAAGAAAATCTGTATATACAGTCTGTTTATAATGTGGGCTGTGAGTAAGTTATAGCTTTGAGTTGCGAAGAAGTCACAGGGAAGAACAATTTGGGTTTCTCATACAGGTATTGAACACATGAAAGACAGTGCTGCCCAGCTCAGGGGGTCCGGTTGGGGGTTCTAACCCCCACCCATCTAGTTGTTTCTGGGCAGTGTGAGAGGTCATGCATTTGTCTATGTCTGACTAGTAGAGAGACTTTCCCAGCTGGCAGAGCTGTTGCTGATGCCTGTCGCTGGGGCTTCTGCAGGCATCCCTGCCTGGGAGCAATGGAGGGCTGCCTGCTGTAAGAGGGAGGGCGGGAGGGAGGGAGGCTCACTGATCAGATGAGCATCTTGTCCAAGCCAAAACCCTGCAGAGGGCACTTGAGCTTTGCTTCTAGTTTGCTTTCACCATGCAGACTGAAAGAAGATTTCAGACTTTGTTTTTCTCAGAAAGCATGAAGAATTTATGAAGTCTGGAAAGAGAAACCCACACTGTAATATTTCAAATGTATGCAGTAGAAGGCACTGTCGAAACCTTTCCTGCCATTCAGGCTCCAGGGGCTTCTGGAGGAGGTCCTGCAGCCTGCGTCTTTCAGAGCTGAGGCTTCACGCGTGTGCTGTGGGTTTGCTGCTGCTGAACTCTTCCGGGGACCTCTGCGAGGGGGGGAGCACACCCTTTGCCTGGAAGCCCACTTGTGTTGCTGCTGTGTTGTGTATATAGCACTCGAGGTGAGTGTGTGTCTGTGTGTTTCAAAGTCACTTGTCTCCTATATGAGTTCAGTCATCCCTGGACTTCTCAGAGTCCCCGAGTCTTGCTTAGAACTGCAGCAAGCCTAATCTCAAGACTCAGTATACACTTTTTTATGAAATGTGGCCACTTTAGATGTAGTTTGTACTTTGCTGGGGACCTCTTGCTGTTGTTTGTGTAAGCTGTGATTGTTCTTTTCCTTCCTAATCATAAGTGAGACTGATAAGTTGGGAGGCTGCTTCTTTGTCAGGCCCAGGAGCAGTTGGCAGAGAGGGAGCTTGTCCCCAAGCATGTTAACACCATGGCCATGGTGTCCCACTGCTGAGGAGGGCACAGTGACTTGCTTTAAGCATCTTGGTCTGCGCCACTTTGTTTTCAAATTAGCCTCCCAGCTCTTCCAATGCAGATAGCACTCAGAATGTCTTTCATGCGCCACCATGTGGCCTACATGGGGGTAAGGGCGGGGGTGGGACAACTTTTTGGTTCTGAGCTCCGACTTCTCTGTCAACGTTGTGGCTTTTCTTTCTCCCTCGGCTCCCAGGGCTGCATTGAACCCGCTGTTGCCTTGGGTTTGGGTTCTCCGTGTGACCCCGGGTGGGAAGCTTTGCTCTCAGGTTCTCCTTTTCTGACTTACCCTGGAAGTTCACGAATTCTGCAACTCTACAGAGAAGTTCCTGTCACTAGAGGCCCCTGTTCCTATTGAGTCATGTCATGGGCACCCAAAAAAGGAAATACACCCAGGTGTGTTTTATGACCGCTCCTAAAGACAAATCAGTGTTTTCTTAAGCTTTTCAGTGGTGGTTAGGGATGAGACTGTACTTTTCTGACTAAAAACTGACCTTGGATCACCAAACTAGATAGAGCTGGGTGCACCATTCCCTAACTGCCAAGACTTACTTGAGCAGTGGTGACTGGGGCTTGAGGAGGTGGTTGCTGGTGTCTAAAAAACTGAAACGCAGTGCTCACTGGAGCTGCCAGCCAGAGGTTTTTATTCCCGTTCAAGTAGCCAGGTGAGCAATGCCACTGTGTGTCTGTGTGGCACATTGTTCCATCAAGCAGGCAGCACTCTAGAGATTACTTTACCACACACCATGCAGATCTTAGTGGCTCACATTAACTTACTCTACACTCATCTTGTTTTGCCAGAAATAAAATTTTTGTGCCTTTCCTTGTCATGAGTTCAGTGTTTGTTACTTTCATGCATGGCTTTATATTTCCCACTTTGTGTGATTGTAAATTCTGTGCAGTTTTAATTTAGAGGGTTTTGTTTTCCTGCTTGTATGCCGTCTCTTCATAGCAGCCTTCCAAGGAACCTCAGATGAGAGCCATGTGGTGGAACCAGGAAGTGTTCCACCTCACAGCGTGCCTGCAGGACAGGATTATCTAGTCCTGCATCCCCAACACCTAAGTACTGCAGTGTTCCTTCTCTCAGGCCCCAGAGACCTGAGCAAGGCCTGAGCCAGGAAGTGCTTAGATGACTTATAACTGGTGAGGTTGGGATTTGGTGAACCCAGGCTGACAGAGAACAAGCCAGGGGGGCTCCCTGATGAGTTCTGCTCATGATGGTTCCTAGGGAAAGGAGCCTTCCCTTTGCATATTCATTTCCACCCTCTTAACCACCTCAGTGTGAAAACAAAGTTCATAAAGTTCATGTTTCTGTTTCACTTGTGAAGGTGAAGAAGTTGGGAGAGTGAGTGTATACACACACACACACACACACACACACAATTTCACAATGTCAGCCTTTGAGTTTCTGCTTTATAACCACATTTAATGTACTGTAGTATGCAGTGCAGTAACCAGTCTTCAGATGTATGAAATCTAACATGTAATCCTACGTAGGTGGACTATGAAACTATTTGTATGATATTTCACCCCTGCTTGCTTTCATCCTGTAACCTGGCCTATGTTATACAAGAAAATTGGAGCAGTGTATTTCAAGGGAATCAACGAAGACCTTGTGGGCTAATTGCTGGCTTGGCAAGGGCCTGATTTGAGTGAGTCCCTGAGGTCAGTCCCTGTGTTGATGGAGCTGGGAGGAGGGGTGACTTCAGGACTTAGGACACAGTGTAGGGCAGTCACTGTTGGTTATGAAGTCAGCCTGGGTAGACTTCCAGGGAAGGCTTTTCCTCACTACCAGTGTGGGATGTCACAGCTAAAGACAGGTCATGTGTTAGGAACATCCAAGGCCATGTTGTCCTTTCTCTTTCAGAGTCTGTGCCCCCACCGTTCCTGCACATGCACTGTGCTCATGGGGGGGGGTGGTTTCACTTTCTCTCAGGCTTCTTTCAGGTCAGGGTGAGGAGGGAGGCCTAAGAGAGGGTGGCAAAGTGACTGCTGCAGATGTAACATGAGGTAGTCAACTATGGGTGAACTATGTCTGGAGCTTAGGGTGCTGAGGGCACCCCGGAGGAACTGTCAGCTTCTGAAGAGAGGAGACTAATTCTTGGGCAGCATTTCAGACTCTTGCTTATCTTGGGTACATGAAACTTCCTTTCCCCGTTATCACTTTAGGCAGTTGCTCAGCATCCTGTTTTTAAAGAGATTATTGGCTTCTACTTCCAGACTCAGTTTCCCTGGTTGAGTTGGGGGCTTTACGGAGGGTGCTGAGGTTTGGATTAAGTGGTAGGGGAGGGTCCTTATTTAAGGGTTTTGCTAGGCCCATTTGTAGCATCCCAGCCAGTCCTCACTCACATCCTTCCAGGGTGAGCCTATGCTTAGCATCTATAGCTTAGATGTGGTCCATCTTTCTGTCGTGTTCTCCGCCCCCCCCCCCCACTTCAAGTTGACTGGCAGCAACCCTACCCAGACTCTGGGCTCTCCTGTGGGTGGAGGCTGTTACCATTGGGTTGCTGCTTCATTGGGCAAGCGGCTCTATTGTTTGCAAAGGTCAGAAAATTCTGGAGTGTGAGCAGTTTAGAGGTGTGCTTTGGATGCTGAAGTATTGGGGTTTTAGGACATAGGGATGATTTTGAGACTATAAGGGTAGAATATGCAAAAGCTAGAGTTTTAGGATCTTCAAATCCAGTGACTGTTGAAGACCCTGTCCCCATCCTTCCCCTTTGTCAGGTGCCTATTTGCCTGGCTCCTTATCTTATTCTCCAGCTGGCGAAATAGCAGCAGTGTGTTATTAGCAATTGCAATCATATAGTGCTTAATATGTGCCAGACACAGTGCTAAGGCTTACATGCATTACTTCCTTTAATCCAGAAGCAGCTCTGGCTAGGTGGTATCCCATCTTACAGATGGGAAAGCTGAGCTCTGTGTTAGAGACTGAGAACAATGTGAGGAAGATGGACCTAAGGCTTACCTGGCTCTCTGTCGGACCAGGTTGTAGACTGCTGGCAGCTGTCTCTTCCCACCAGCTGGCTGTGAGGGTGCCCGTGAGGATTTAATGAGCTAATGCACATAAGCGATTAGCAGGGTACCTGCCACATAGTAAGCACTCAATAAATGGGAGTTGCTTTTTTCTTTTGTTGTAAGCTGAGCTCAGTGAGCAGTTTGGCCCACACTGGTGGGCTGCTGGGTATTCAGCCATCACACTCCCTGCCTGCACATAGTTTGGCGCTTGTGTCCTAGAAAGTGACCACACTGTCCTCCAAGAGAAGACTTCAGTGGACCAGTGGGAAGGAAGAGCCCTGTGCAGCTTGCTGTTTTCCATGGCACCAAGGCCACCCCGACTGAGGGACGATGTGAGGGTGCTTCTGTTCCTTTTCCCTGTGATTGAGATTGCTCACAGGAAGGCTGCTTGCTCTGACCTGGGGATGCCCCAGCCTGGGCAGCAAGGTCCTGTCTTTCTCTGGACTCCACTTTGTACACCAAGGCCTGTACTCTGTTGTACAGTTCAGGACTCCATGGTTCTTGCTACAAGTGGGTAATTTCAGGAATCGAGCAGGATAGAAGGAACAATCCTGAGGCTGAGTGCACTAGCCAGAAATTGAAAGCCCTGCCCATGCTCTTGACACCATAACCCTTCCACCTTGTGTTTCTATCTTAAGAGAACAGGTTAGAGCAGGTGACCACTGGGGACAGGTTATGTGAATGTTTCTGTCTGTTCTAGACTAGCAAAGGATCACACAGATTATTAATCATGGAAAAATGTTTCATTGGTTTTCTGAATGGACATGGGGAATTAGGGAGGGGGGAGAGAGAGTCTGCCTGCCTGCCTGTCTGTCTGTCTGTCTGTCTGTCTTGGCCAAGTCTTCATTCTGACTGAGTGGCATTGGCTAACATAACCCAGGAGATTCTCAGGCCCTGTGAGGAGGAACTACAGTTCTGAAGGTGGAGCATCCCACAGGCCCATGGCTGGAATTCAGGTACTGGAGCTCCTCCTGCTCCTGCTCCTCAGGACTTGGGTTCGCCAGGCTGGTCCTTCCTCCTTCACTGTGCCATCTGATGAACCAGGCAGTCCTTTGTCTGGAGAGAAAAATCCAATGGTAGCAGAAGCCCTGGGGCACTGCTTTTCTAGACCCTGGCCAGGCCCAGCTTGGTAGTTCTTGAAGGACCTTGAATGAGTACAGCATTCAGAAGGACTTGTGACACGGCCATCTGCCCAAGGGAAATTGTAGTATTTGGTGTCACCTTCTTAGTCGTCTCTGTTCTCCTTACTAGAACACGTTTTCCTCACCCATTAGGTTTGTGTGCTGGTTTTGCTGGCTTTCTCAAAGGAACACCAGTGTGGAAAAGGGGGGGAAGAATGTTTTTGCAGTGAGCTGAATGTGCACACATGTTTATGAGAGTCCTTTGTGTGAGGTTTCCTCTCATTTCTTGGTTTCTGTCCTGGGTCACACTGAGCACGTGTCTGAGGCTGAATACAAAGTGGAGGCAGGGAACCAGTCAGGCCCTGGGCGGCAGCTCTTTGTCCACCTCAGGGACTCCTGAGACGCCAGGGGACAGCAACAGGACAGAACAGGCGGGGTGGGAGTCACACAGGCAAAGGTAGACTCAGACAAGCTCAGTGCTCCTCGGTGGCTGCAGGGACCAGAAATCACCCCAGAAAATCCATCCCGGGAGTCCTGGGGCTCAGTGCCCTTTCTAGAGGCCGTGTGGACCCAGATCTCAACTGAGGTTTAACACTTTTCAAACCACAGTGGGGACCACAGTGGAAGACAGAGCAGAGCACCCCCAATTTCTCAGCCTCTTCCGTTGTGTGGAAGGACCTGCTGAATCCAGTTGTATTACACTGCCTGGCTGCTTTCCTGCCCTCAGACTGGGGGAACTGGGACACAGCACTTGCTGTGTGGAATCCATGTGACTATCCTTGGGTCTCCCCAGATAGGCATGTACTTGTGTGTTCCTGCTGTGCCACTTTTCCAACCCAAGTGTCCCTAAATCAGTGTTCTTTCTCTCTGCATTTAGGATTGGTGTAGAACACATGGAGATTCTTTTCAGCACAGTATGAGAATGTGATATATTGTATATTGGAAAGTATTTACCTTATTTATATACCTGAATGTTCCTATTAAACAAATAAACATATATTAAATTCTAGATTGTGTATTGTTTTTAATGGGAGAAACCCTTTAAAATTATTTTATGTGTATGGATGTTTTGCCTGTGTATATGTATGTGTACCATGCATGGCCTGTTGCCTGCAGAAGAGAAGGCATTGGATCCCCCCTGCAATTGCAATTATGGATGGTTGTGGACTACCATATTGATGTTGGGAATCAAACCTGGGTTCTCTAGAAGAGCAGCCAGTGCTCTTAATCTCTGAGTCATTTCTCTATTCTCAAGGAGTTGATTTCTGTGTTTGTTTTTAGACAGTCTTACTGTGTAACCTAGGCTGACACTGAATGTAATATCCTCTCACCTCTGCCTCCAAATGCCGGGGTCACATATATCACAGTCAGGAAGTATATGTATGTGTGATGTGTTTGCATGTGTGGGCACGTGTGTAGAGGCCCCAGGTTGATGTTGAGTGTCTGCCTCTTCCCATTTGCTCTCCACCTTATATACTGAGGCAAGGTCTCATGCTGAGCCCATTGCTCAGCTTTTGGATAGTCTGGTGGACTCCCTGTCTTTGCTTCCTACAGTATGGGATTACAGGCAGGCTGTCATGCCCATTGGATTTTTATGTGTTCTGGGGATCTGAACTCAGGTTTGTACAGCAAGCATTTTATCTGCCTAACCATCTCCCCAGCACTAGGAGAATGGTTTTGTTTTTTAATATATTAAAAACTTTAAAATTAGATTTATTCATTTGGCATTTTATGTGTGGGTGTTTCCTCTACATGTGTGTATATGCAGTACTTGCATGTCTGGGGCCCAGCGAGGTCAGAAGATGGCATTGGATCCCCTGGAATTGGAGTTACAGATGTTTATAAAATACCCAGGTCTCTGGAAGAACAGCAAGTGCTCTTAACTGCTGAGCCATCTCCCCAACACCCAGGAAGTTTTGAAGGCTGAAGGCGGGGCAGGAGTGTGGTGACCGGGTGTGTTTACTTCCTGTGACTGGGGTGGGCAGTGTGTTCAGCCAGTGTGACCTTCCAAGGTACTGCCCACCACCCCAGCTCCTAGCTAGAGACATCTCTGCCCTTGGTCATTGTGCCAGCTGTCCTGGCATCTTCCCCTCTCTGTGGTTGCTCCTTCCCAGCCTTCCTTCTTCCTAAGTGGCTTATCACTTGTCCATCTCATGGAAGGGCATTCTGCCTAAGCCTCTCTGCCCCCCTCTAGTTACCCAGGTGTTCAGTCATTCTGAGGGCTTCAGCCACCGCATTCCCATGTTGCCGTAGCTCACAGGGCCTGTGATTGCAGGTGCTTTTTTCCAAGACCAAACTGGAACTCATGGCCTTTACTGACATGTTCTTTGACTTACCATCTCCGCTATTTCATGCCTGTAACGTGAATGACATCGTCAGTAGTTGAACTGGCCACTCTCCCTTCTGGCCCTCTGGGCAAGGCCCCATTTTCCTGACAGAAATTCTGTGGCAGTCTCCGGCTGTCTCCCTGTAGTGTGGTCACCTCTGCTGCTTACTCCTTACACCGCAGCTGGTGTTTTCCTGTCTTGGGACCCTTTGCTGCCTTAGGGTGCAGCCCAGACTTGTGACTACTGTCTCTGAAGGGTGCACTCAGGCTCTGCTCTTGCCAGCTACTCATGGTGTTCACCTCTTCTTTGTCCAGACATTCATTTCCTGACCTTAGCACGTGCCTTTCCTGCCTGGTTTCTAAAGGGCCCTGGGAGAGTTGAAGATAGGGCCAGATCCAAACCCCAGGAGAGGCCAGCCTTACCAAGGCTAATGTTCGGGAACAGTGCAACTTATGGCCATAGCCTTTTGGACAGAGGCCTGTGTTAGTGACTTTCTGTAATAGGGACTAACCAAATGATTGCCTGCCAATATTTGAGGTGCAAAACCCATTACATTTATTTTCTTGAAATGTGTTAGTTTTCTATTACTGGGACAAAATCCCTGGTAGACATAATCTTATGGCAAATTTATTTTGGTTCACAGTTTCAGAGGTTTTATTTCGGTTTGCTTCAAAGCAAGCAAGCAGATCATAGTGGGAGAGCATGGCAGAAAAGCTGCTCACTTCAGGGCAACCAGAAAGCAGAGAGGCAGGGGCAGGGCCAAGAAAGGCCCTTCAGAGGTGCCTTGCCAGTGAACTCCTATCAACTAGGTTCTACCTCCTAAGAGCCCATTCAGCCATGAACTTGTCAGCGTATTAATGCATTGATGATATTAGCACCTTCTAAACCTATTTTTTTCATTTGTTTTTGAAGCTAGGGTTTTGTTATGTAGCCCAAGCTGGCCTCCAAGCCTCGGTCCCCTGCTAGTCTTTGTAGTTATAGGACTACAGGCATGCCCTGCCACAATCAACTTGCCCCTTAGGTTGTAAACACCTCTCAGTAGCACCACAACATGGGGACCCAGCCTTCAACATGAGCCTCTGGGGACATTTTGTATCTGCATCATAGCACCAACAAAACCTGATTATAACCATCAGTTTCTGGGGTTGATGAGAAGCCTAATAGTTATTCTCTCTGGCTCTTCTTTTTCTGTATCCGGAACAGAGTCCTCATGTGCGATTAGAGTGGGGACTATATGGTCAGCAGCCCACCTGGGAAGCGCACGTGTTCATGGTCCTGATGCTCATGCCCTTGAAGTGCCTGCATCTGCTCTCCCTCCATTCAGAGCCCCCAAATGGGCCTCGACAACCAGCATTGATTCAGGGAACATTTAGGAAGTGCTGTTCTGTGCTAGGCCTTGTCTACACACTGTCACAGAGTCCCAACTCTCAGGGAACTCAGACGGGGACAGATGGGGTCAGGAGAGAGGAGCATGGAGTGCTGGTGGGGAAGACTGCAGCTTCGGACAATCGGGCACTTAGAAACTGGGGAAGGGCGTCCCATGCCAGTGCACAGCAAGGGTGAAGACATACGGAGGTGCTGTAAGGGCGTGCTGAGTCGGGGGGAGGCACTGGCAGTAAATGCAGCCTGGCGACAGCTGTACTCTGCACAAAATGAGATGCTGATGGAGAGAGAGAGTTTTGGCCTTAATTGTTTGGTCTGATGTTTCCAGGTCGGCACTTGGCAGCTGCTAGATGACAAACACTGCAGAGGGACAAGGGTGGGAAAGGGAGGAGGGAACGACTATGCAGGGAAGAGCACAGTGCCTCAGACCCACAGGAGCAGCTGGGAGGTTAGAGACAGCATGGGGGAGAAAAGAGTAAGGGATGCCTGTGAGACTCCATGTGCACCAGAAGAATGGCACCACCAGTTTGGGGCTGTGGAAGCTATGCGGCACAGGGTGGGAAGATGAAGTATGGGGCACACTTAGGAATGGGAATGTTCCTCATGGGGATGTCTGGTCCAGGGAGCAGTCTCTTCAGTACCGAGAGCCTGGAGACTGGATAAAATCACCAATGGAAGAATTGAGGTCTGTCGCAAGTTACTTGTCTGTTACTGTCAAGTGACACCATGGCCTATAAAAGAAAGCATAAATAATTAAAATTGGGGGCTTACGGTTTCAGAGGGTGAGTCCATGGTCATCATGTCGGGGAGCACAGCACGTTAACTAAGAGCTTCACTTGATCCAAAAGCACCAGGCCGAAAAAGCTTAACTGGGAATGGTATGGGTTTTTCAAACTTCACTGCCACCCCCCTCAGTGTGACATGCCTCCTCCAACGAAGCCACACCTCCTAATCCTCTCTAAACAGTTCCACCAGCTGGGAAAAGACATTCAAATAGATGAGCCTATGGGGTCCGTTCTCATTCAAACCTCCACAGGGTCCAAAGCCAAGCCCTCAGGTCTAATTTGAGGATGCACTTTTTTCCATGTAGTACTGGGCCCTGGCCTTCAGTGCCACTGTTCCCTCTGTCTGCCTCAGACAATCCCATCTTCAGCCCACACCGACCTGTTTCCAAGTGGTCTGCTCCTGCCTGACTCAGAAGCAGCTGTTGATTTCCACCTGGGGAGGGGCAGGGTTCTAGAAGCGCAGCGTTTTCTCCTTAAGGGGGAAGTGTAACATAACCTTTGGTTTTCTGGGAAGGAGAGAAAGGGAAGCAAAGCAAGAGTCTTCCATGTTTGATGATCCTGAGCAGCTGGGGCAAAGGAGCCCTTTAGGAAGGACTCAGCCCTGGCATTTTAAGTCACAGTGCCTGTCTCCCCATAGTTACCAAAAGATGTGATCGCTAGTTCTGGAGTCAACCCAATTGCAAGAATAGCATAAAGCCTCCCCCAAATGATGTGACAGACTGTGATGATCCCCTGTGGAAGGCCTCACTATCCGTGGGGAGTGGATAGAGAGTGGGTTGGCGGGGATCAGTGGGGTACATGAGAGGATGTGAGGGTGAAGAAGTAATAAAAAAAGAATAAAGAACACCCTACATCCTTCAACTAAATTGCCCAGATGTTAATATTCTGACATTTTTTGGTGTTTTCTCATACACTTTTTTCTGAACCATTTGAAATTATAAGTATAGTGTCCCTTTACTGATTTATTCAACTTTCATATTATCCTACTGTTTTCTTCATAGTGAAATAACATGAATTTCTTTTTTGAACAATTAGAAGTTTTCTCAGGTGGGGATAGTTTACACACGTAATCCTAGCAATTAGAAGGCTGTAGCTGGGGAGTTACAAGCTTGAGGTTTGCCTGGGATACATAGTAGGACTGTTTTTAAAGAAAAAAAATGCAGAAACACCAGGTTCTCATTTTAAAGTGGAAGTGTTGCATCTTCTAGAACTTTCCTATTACTGCACCATTCTTATTGCTGTTAAAAAATAAAATAAAAAATTTCAGGTCCCAAATAGTGAATGCATAACTAGTAAACCCTTATCTGTTGGTTCTAAAGCCTGCTCTAGTTATTTTTCTAAATTTTCATTTTTAGGAGTTTAAGAATTATGTGTTTTTATAGTGTGTGTATCTTTGTGTGTCTATGCTTTTATGTATGTGTGTGTTTGTTGGTATGTGTGTGATGGAGTATGTGTTTTGATGTGTCTTTCTGTGTGTGTATATCTCTGTGTGCCTTGTGTGTGTGTCTGTGTGA